TAGTTTCATTCTTAACCCAAGCTGTGATTTGTTACATTTACAATGAGACATTTATTGGTCATGCATGACATTTGACTTTCCTTTTTGCAAAGTTAAATGCATTGCTGTCTAATGCAATGATAATATTACCGCAATGGCTTACTTCATCGTTGAATTAACTTAGCTGAACAAAAATGAACTTTCCATAAATTCATAATCTCAGATATTATTCTGAATATATCTTGATGTATCCTGCACCTTTTCCCTCAGCTGCTGATGTGTGGCCTTGGCGATGTGGATGTTAATGACTGGAGACAGCATACTATTTACAAGAATGGATACTGCCCAAATCACCCTGTCATCCAGTGGTACTGGAAGGTAAGTTTTTGATTCAGAATATCCCGTTCTCAGTTGTCTGAAATCACTGTGTGTACATGAGTAACATTTTTTTCCCCCATAATGAAATCTCAGATGTATTTTGTAGTGGCTTAATGTTTGCGGTGACAGGCATATTGAAGAAAAAATAATAGTTGCGCCTAAATTTATCTATTTTTGGTGCTGCACAGATTTCTGGGAAGCAGTGTTTTGTTTCTAAATAAAAAATGCTTGGTGTGGAAAAGTATCTGAAGTATTTCTGAATTTAGTCGTTTTTCCTCATCTACACTAATTATGACCTTGTTTGGGTGGTTTGTTCTGTACACTTTGTGAGAAGCTGATTGAGATCAAAGTCTGTTTGATGTATCTGGTATGTTTACTCAGATGAAAGAGTTGAAGAGGTGACACTGGCCTTGGTTATCAGTAACTGTCAGTCTGAGCGCTCTTTCAGTACACATTACACATGGTTACATTTCACTTAAAATAACTGCCATATGTTCTATAATTGTACCATTATTTAAAAAAAAAAAAAAATCTAAACTTAAGATATTACTTTTTATCTCTCTTTAAATTAAACGTTATGAAACGTTTTTTCTTTATTTTATATTACACCATATCTCCTTGATATCTTTAGACAGAAATGTAATTATATTTTAGTGAAACCTTTACAGGGAATTTCTTATATTTGAGTTAATTATAATCTGTAAGCAATGAGTTGTGGCCAGAGTGAATTCTAAACGCAGCCATGTACCGCTTCACAAAAAGTTAATCTTGGAGTTTCTGCCAGTTTTGCTGTAATCGTTGGAATAATAATTAACTGGAAGTGCATACAAGTTTACAGAGTTATGGTAGTTATGGTGAAACAATTGAATCTTCTAGCACTAGTACATTATAAATCGCATTTATTCTGTAAGATGTGTGCTTTTTGCCTGTCTTTTTCTCTTTATGACATTTCATCTTAGACCAGAGCTAGTCAAATCATGGTCCTCAAGGGCAGAGCACTGCTGATTTTCCAGTCTTCCTTTACCTGTGAGCAGGTGTGAAGCCTCTGTGGCCAATCAGAATCAGTAACTATTAAACTGACTACCTGGGAGAACTGAAAACAAGGCCTGGATTTGGAATCAAATTTGGATTTGAAGAGCCCTGTCGTGGGCTATTGGGTGAACATCTTCATTTACGAACATCTTCCTTTTTAATCCCTGTTGTGTCTCCGCAGGCTGTCTTGCTGATGGATGCAGAGAAGAGGATTCGTCTGCTTCAGTTTGTCACCGGGACTTCTCGTGTCCCCATGAACGGCTTTGCTGAACTATATGGTAAGAGGGCGGAAATAGTTGCGCTTTTATATTCTAGATTTATATCTATGTCTAGTATCTGTCTGCTCTTTGACATTTGATTTTTATATTATCTGGAACTGGTTTGTAGAGAGAAGGGAAAAAATATGTGATGTACGAACATTTGATAGGAAAATCCGTCAGTGTTTTTTATTCATATTGGCAGTGCCACTGTATTGTAAAATCCCTCTTATTTGATCAGTGTTTAATTTTTCCCAGGATCCAACGGACCACAGCTGTTTACCATTGAGCAATGGGGAACACCTGACAAGCTCCCTCGAGCTCATACCTGGTATCTATAGACTCAGCCGTTTATTATTTTCAGGCACATTTCTATTTTTATTTTGCATATTAGAAGGGAACATAATTAAATATACCATCTTGGATTGTATTAAACACAGTGTGATAAACCACTATTAAAACCAGATTATTTTACTTGATTTTAATACAGATATTCAGATGTGGCTGTTCTGCCCTTTTTAATTTAGCTACGCAAGTTATCAAATGATCCCCGTGTGAAAAATACTTGGTGTGTGTTTTTACAGCTTCAATCGACTGGACCTGCCTGCCTACGAGTCCTTCGACGACCTGCGGGAGAAACTCCTGATGGCTGTGGAAAACGCGCAGGGCTTTGAGGGTGTTGACTAGATGTAGACCACAGACAAGCTGCAATTTCTTTGCAGGTCACAGCAGCCATAGATATGTTGGTATATACTAGAGTATGTATACATATGTGTTGCTGTGGACCTTAGGACATCTGTATAGCGAATTAATTCCATGACCCCGGTTGTTTTTGCCTGTTTAGAGCCTTGGAAAGCTGAAGGAGCACAAATTGACACATTTATTTTTATTTATTGTTTTTTTTTTAATTAGTATGACACAGAGAGGCTTTCTGATTAATTTAAATTACTCTTATCTCATATTAGTATGCAGTTGGTACTGTGTCTTTTTTACATTTTTCACTCACTTCAATGCATGAACAATAACCACTTTTACAAAATGTTAATTGCAGCACCATTCATCTTAGGAACAACAGCCAAACACGGATTATCATCGGCATATTCATTTACATGTTATTTTGAATATTTCCTTCCTCATACTATTTTTAGCAATTATTTTTTAACTTTCTTTTCAAGTCAAGGAAAAAAAAACATGTTCATAATCATTTTTAGATTTGTAATTATTATTATTATTATTATTATTATTATTATTATTATTATTATTATTATTATTATGCTCCACAAAGTGTATTTGTACTGTAAAGTGTTCTGTATTTTACACACTGTGTCCAAGACTCCAAATCATGGAAAATAAGGACACATATCTTTATTGAAAATAAATTGGTTATTGAAGTGCTATGTAAACAGCCTGAAAATGTACCTTGTATATGCAAGAAATTAAAGGTTATATTTCTTTATTGGTTAAAAAACCCCCGACAGAAGGTAAGCATGTCAAATTGCATTTGTGGAAAGGCTTCGTGTGGAATGTGTTGTTTAAATATGCTTATCCCTGTTTCTGATGCGCCCTATTAAGTTCTTAAAACGTTTTCGTCACTTTTATGTAAGTAGTAAATTTTAAACAAGTATTAATTAACAATACAAAAATGAAACTGTGCAGGAAAGCTGTGATTGTTACCATTTTAGCAGCACGTTCTTATAGGTGGAAATCTCTCTCTTTTTGCCTTTTTGTAATAACACTGAACCCAAAGGGCACTTTATCACACTAAGGTCATGTTGCCTGTCTTTATTATTTTTGTTTATCTGGGTGCAAAAAAGTGTGTGCGTGTGTGTGTGTGCGTGTGTGTACGAGTGTGTATGTGTGTGCGTGTGTGCGTGCACGGGTGCACATGCATGCGTGCTTGTTTGCTTGTGTGTATGTGTGTATATATCTGGCTGCTGATGTATAAACTCACAGACTCACTGACGTGGAGCTAAGCCTTCCCACTGTATTAACTTTACTTATCATGTGAACTTGACTGAGGATCTGATGTTTTTAGGATGGAATGGGCTTCTAAAGATACTTCACACAAAAGTGATAGAACAAGTGAAATTAAACTGTAATACTAAACATAAGGATTGTTTCTTCATTGCGCTTAAGTGAATGTTGGTATTTGTGCCTGTGATTCCACCACTGGTGCTTCAACCTTTTGCCTCAAATCTGGAAAGTTTTGTTTGTTTGACCCCTTTAACAATGTACTATAGTTTTGATTACTGTGGTTCTTCCGAATAACAGCCATGAAAACTTAACAGTCAAGAGCATGATGTAAAATAAAGATATCAACAAAGTCAATTATTTGATCAACTGCCTTTTAATGATTATTGCTTTAATATATTCATCAGTTTGCATAGGAATAAACAGTTTAGTAAAGGACTAGGATTCATGTAAGAATCAATGTTTTTATGGTTTCCTCTTAACAGTAATTCACTTTAGGAAAATTCCACACATCCTATTATTCCTTTATTATTCTCTCAGGGTCGATGACAGTGCTATCATGACAGTACACTGTTAACTTATTACAGGTTTTTGACTTAAAAAGATTATTAAAATATTTATAGTGAATCACTAAATGCAGTGTAATTCTTATTGTAAGTAATTTTGAATATATAGAAAAGAAAAAATAGAACATGTATTGGGCAAGTTACATATGAGAAATTTGACAAGGCAAATTGTTATAGTTAAGCTACAAGAAGTGACCGAAAAGCTGTAAGAGGATTGGACTGCTGGATGGGTCATATTGACCACCTGACATGTGACCTCAACTGTCGTTCCTGGCTGTTCTGCTCCAATGTAGCCAACAGAACACTGGAGTTTAGGAAGTGAACTCTTGTCTAGTGTTGCGCAGTACTCGATGCCTTACACAAGATGAACTGTGCCCTTGTAGGGATCACAATAATCAAACAGACACTTACCCGCAGGTAGGGAGTGTTTCTGCTGGGTCTGTCACTTTATCATTTAAAAAAAATTTTTTTTTTTGTTTAATAAATACAATCAATTATTATTTGAAATGGTGCATTGGTATGGGAGATATACAGATTAATCTCTTGTTTGTTAATTATACCATAAACTTATTTTTCTCTGTACAGAAGTTCTCAGTTCAAATTTTAAATTAAAGCCAAAGCTTTTGTTTAGACTTTACGATTAATACACTTGATACACTTTATAATGAGGACATACATGGTGAAAGAAACTCAGTTCATTCACACAGACGATCACAGAGTTATCAGTTTCAAGGACAAGCAAATAAAAACCCCATGTTGTTCTGGGACACTTTAACAAAACCTCAAAGTCTAATCACAAACATGCAAAGAGACGAAGTCCCATCCTCAGTCGTTTTACTGAAAGTATAACAATATATACAAGTACAGCATATGCATTTAAGAGATGTAACAAATGATTTATCTTTAGATGATCATATAAAAATATATGGAAAAATACAGGAACTTGCCTGGAAATGTGTGTGTGTGTGTGTGTGTATATACATAGAAATTTTGGTGCACTTCATCCTACCTAAAAACAATGCAATTCACATTGAATTCGACTGTGCTAAGGAATAATTTTTTCATAACATCATAATTGCACACACAGAATGTAATGCATAGCTTTAGATTTCATAGTCCTTTAGCATTCAAGTTTAATTTAAGATATTCAAAGGTTTCAACAGAAGTATGGAGAATATGAAATACACGATGATAGATTCTCTGTCATACTATTAACAGGATTTAATATGTTTTATTGCTATAAAGCATTCAATGGCATTTTAAGGTCAGAATACAATTAATGTAGAGATATATTTTTTAAGTAAAGCCGCTGTACTCATCAATTAAGTTTATATTTTTGCAACCATTTTTGTTATGTACACCAATCTGGAATTTTCTTTTGTTAAGTTTTGTTTTTTAATTTGTGCCACGGTGATGGTTCTTAATTTTGGGGAGTTTTTTAGAAATTAAGGAGCATCTAATTTTGCAGTTCATCACAATTATGTTATCCCACAGTAAGTGAATATTAATCTCATAATTTTCTTAACTCATTGAAAATAAATGGTGAGATTAAATGGCAAATAAATGATTACATAAATTTCAGAGAGTGATTTTACGTTAATTAGGAATGGATCTCAAGAGGAATGGTTTAAGTAACATCCTTGTGAATTTAATGATGAAATTAGATAGTATAGATCAAAGCTAAAAGTGTGAATATATAGATTTTATACCTACAGTTTATGCTGAAGTAGAGTGTGCCTTAGAAATGTTACAGAATGACTAGTAAAATAAGGAGAGGGATGTCCAATGCGGTGGTATCATTGCTCGCCTTTCCTTGTCTTAACCGATCAATACTTTCCAGAATCTTATCATTTATCTAATTACCCAGAGCTACATAAAGGGAGCAGAAGGGAAAGTGCAGGGTCCAGAGGCTCACTGCCGGCACTGGTATGATTTTTGAGACTCTTTTATTTGGTTTGGGCGACTACAATAAGGCCCAGTGAGACAATGACTGCGAGCACAGGTGTAAGAGTTCCTGAAGAACATTTAAGTCAATTTGCCAGTCAAATGGTAAGTTCCTGTTTCCATGCTTGAAGGCGGAATAGAGAACATCAAAAGGTTAGTGGTTGAAGAAGTGAATACAGAAGATTTCATTAACTCTTCTGTCTCATTAACAATTAACACAACTTTAGAATCAAGTCAGGGTGGTAAACAAATTTACAGCAGAACATTTAAAAACTTCTTGTAATTGAGCATTTTATTAAATTGATAACCATGATTAAGTTTTATTTCTAATATATTCTGTACAATGATATGTTTCAGATGTGTCTGTCAGTAGCTGATTCACAAGCCTATTTCTTACCCACTGTAGGATCAACTGTGGCAAACTGAAAGGTTGTAAATTTTAGCACTTGAAATTTTAATTAATTGTGCCAAGGCACCAGATTTCAAAATGAATATTTTGTGAAATATTTTCCCTCTGATTTTTTCTCATGGTTGGTGGGACATTCGCATGCGGAAATCATACCACAAATTCAACCAAACAGTTTTACCGAAACATCAACACTTAATAAAAGTGCTGAAAATCCATAATACTGTAGTTATTATGTTGACATTTACTGTTGTAGCTGCAAGTTGTAATAATTTCTTTATTTATTACACATTTGATGTACAGTTTTAACAATAGTAATCTGACATATATTTAACAAATAAATGTTGAGCCTATTTCCTAGTTTAGGTCTAAGCTATGACACCATTACATTTTACTCATTTCTATGTCAGTGAAAAGCAGTGATCAACGCAAACATATTTGCAAATAACAGGAATTTAAAAAAAAATGCAAATGTTTTTGTTGTTTGAAATGCTCGGTCGATTCTCCATATGGCTCCATTTTTTTGTTCTCTCTCACTCAATGGAATTTATTTTCACAAGTTCAATCCTCCAGAGGTGTGGAGTGTGACAATGGTGTTTGTTTTTCTGTTATCAAACGCCATTATCACACTAAATAGCTATGGTGAGAATTTCGCTTCAGACATGGCACACGAAAAATATCTGTAGTATGTATGTGTGTGTATGTGTGTGTTATTTCTTTTAACTTCATTCATATTGTTAAGTTTTAATAACAAAAGATCAATATTTTAAAATGTGCAGTCAAAATGTCTTACATAGCATTTAAGTTTTATCATTTTTTATGCATTTAATAAAGCAGTGTTTGATTTGTATTTCCTTGTATTGCTCAGAAAAAAATGACTATTCCTTGTAACAAAGAAAAAATAAAACTTGAGCAGAATGTATAGTTCAATGGCATTCTGTAATGTGACTTTAAGGTTCTCCAACCACAAATCTCCCCTTTGTGCTACTTGGGCCATGTAAGCCAACACCTCAGCTTAGATGAGCTTCATCATCATTGCACAGAAATATTATCCATTCTGAACAGAGACATGCATTTCATATTCGCACTTAAAATGCCAAGTGCCATGTGGAAGGTTTCACCTTGCAACTTATAATAATGAACATTTTTTGTTGCACAGGATTGATATCAAAACAAGAATAACATTTTGAAAACTAAAAAGGTATAAATAGATTGTTAATATCACAACATGCTATTGGAAACTCTTCAGTGATGGCAGGCCTGCAATTTCTGGCAAGGAAGATTAACAGCTGTCTTAATAATTCAAATGGGTGTTTCAGAGTGTGACCTCTTCACAAAGGTCTTATTTTAGTCGGAGTGATTACTAAAATAATCTTGGAAACTGGTGTAGATGCATTAATTTTGATAGAAATGTCACTATTATTATAAATTCACTAAAATTCACTAATAATTTGCTTAACGATTACACAACTATTTCAAATATATATACAGTATATAAGTTTTTTCTTTTTTGCACAAGATACTAGTGGTTGCTTTATGTTTTATAAAATGTATATTGTTTATATATATACACACACACACACACACACACACACACACACACACACATACATACTACATTAATATTTATGCTAACATTTCATAAGCTAATGAACAAAATACTTCCAATACTAATATAACATTATCAAATTAAATTAAGACTTAATAAATTAGGCATACAACACTTAAACGTTATAAGCAATCTGTTACATTTTATCTAAATGCTTATCATGAGTTGAACCAATTCAAATGCCCTGATGCACTACAATCAGAACATACCTAAGATTCTTCTGTATTATGACGCTACCCAGCATCTTACAACCAAGCCTCCTCCATACCAGCAAATATGTTTTGAGGCAGTTACTTAAAGAAAAATTAAGAGATGTTTTAAAGTTGCAGTATTTGAATAAAACACTTTTTAAAAAAACCTTAAATGGCTATGATCACCCTCAGAATTTGTTCTTGAAGGCTGGAACAATCGTATTCCTGGGCAGTGGTTTTGCCTTTGGTTTTGTGGCTGTTGCTGGCCGCTTAGATGTTTGTTGACAAGCTTGTATAGACTTCAGGCCCAAGAGCTGACAAAACTTGTTACACTGATGGAGCGCTTTGAACTGGTCAATGAAAGAGGTGGCACAATTACCCTTGAAGCCTTTGTACCTGACAACAAAACAACAGAAAGATTTTAAGAAAGTCTTCATATTTTTGAAGCACAGCCAAACACTCCTACTTATTACTTTGGCTTATGACATAAACTCACCCTTTCTTACAGGTTGCTATACCCACGTCAGTTAATTTCATTCCAACTCCTGTTAGAAAAAGAAAACAAAATAACATTCCTTGAATTCCATTAGTTGTGGTAAATTGGTATCGTTTGGTGTCAGGATTTATATTCTTGTATCAATTAATAGTAAATAGGACCGACTACAAAGTAGATAATAAAAAAAAACGTGCACCTTAGGTCATGGCTGTAGCTCCACGTCGTCAGCCTGATTTTGACATGAGATTGCTTTGATTTTTAAATGCTTACTACGATAGTATAATGCGTATGAAATACAACAGAAATAAAATCTATTTACACTTACAAGTTTTAGCTGTCTGACATACTCAAAAAGCTACGTGTTTGGCATATAGGAAAATGAACATAACTGTCTGACTGTCGCTGGAAACTAGAAATGGTGCACAAAATATTTATGAAGTTTAAAAGTGCAATAACCACTACCACACATTTTCTTGTTGGTTTTTAGTCATGTGTGTTCTTAAATAAATTGGAGTTGCTTTGTTTATTCATTGCTTTTCCTTAGATTGGTGTTTCCCAACGCAGTCCCCGGGGACCCCCCGACAGTCTGCCAGGAGCTGGGAGGGAGCAAAAACATGGACTGTCTGGATTGGGAAACACTGCCTTAGGTTATACCTTGCATATCAGTCACCAACAGGTTGCCTTCAGTGTTGTGATAGACCCAGTGCTGGAAGGTACAGCACTTCTGCCCTGCCTCTGAGTCTCGTCTCATCAAGTTCATCTCCTTTCCATCCTTGACAGAATATTTCACAAACTCTCCTACAAGCTCTTCCTCCAAGGTGGCATATGGGATGTCGCTGGTGGGTCGATGGACCAGGTAAATAGGAATGATCCTAAAACACAGACACAGAGGGGATTTTCCCATGACATTTTCTTGGCGATACTGTCAGGATCACTGGAATTGTTAACCTGGTAGCCATGTGCAGTGCTCTAGGTATGCGCTCGTGTCAGACTCACTCTGGAACCTCTCCAAATATCTCTGCGGACTTTGCAACTGCTGTGTAGGCTTTGATGTATTCTCTTGCTGTATTCTGAACATAACACTCCTTGGGTTTAACACAACAATAGAAGCCAAGTTAGTTTGAGGCCAACAATGAAGTTTACTTTAAAAATGATCTTTACTCATGCAACATATATTTTCCGTTATCAGAAAGGGTTCATCCATCAAGAATGTTTCTATAGCAGGGATCTCTAACCTTATTTACAGTGAAAGCTACCTCTACAAAGACAATGAAATGGGGACTTATGCGTTTGACAAAATATAAGATATAATCCATTGTGATGTGTTAGTAACCACTGTTTCTAAAGGATAATACATAGCCAGTAGACATTTCAAACATCCTTTTTGCATCATTGCCAGAAATACATACCTCCACAGCCAGATTATAGTTCTTCTGAATTAGTTCTTCATTGTTCTTGGTTCCATAGCTGATGGAATTGTGGACTTTGAGTACACAGTGGTGCCCAGGGTTGAACAGTGGCACCAGACCAGTCAGAACTTTGGTTCGAAAGGCCTTCCGGTGCATGCCCTCACCGAAGTGGACCTCTTCTGTCAAGATGCTTGCAGGTTGATCATCCCCAAAGAACTGCTCACTTAGGATGTCACCTCTGAACAGCAGGGGGGCACATTTCACATCTTCTCCAACCTCCTTACTCACCTGCACTAAAGCACAGAAAATTTAGATAGATATATTGGTCTTTATTTTATCTTTGTACACATAACAAAATTATTTCAACCCAACTGCCCTCAAGTGCCCTCCACTTGAACACCATTCATCAATGAACAAATCACTATTTCATATTATTTTACCAATCATGCAAGCACAAAAATATTTTCCTTATAGCTCTGCATACTTTCTGAAATAAAAAAAGAAACATGTTTTGCTTAATAACATGAAATGGTGCATATTGTCTAGTTATATAAGCTATAGTTATATAGCTTCCAAAAACATGCAACACATTTCACCTCAGCTACTTACATCACATTTTTCATGTTAATATCTGTACTAGCTAGGTAGCTACTCCACTCCATGGGACCATTCTCCCATAAAGCACTTACTCAAAAAAGTATTTAAAAAGTTACACACTTCTGAGCTAACGCATATCCTACCATCATCAGCGTGGTCATGCCCACTGCGTTTAACCCGAAAAAGAAGGTGCACAAGAAGTATGATTAATTCACCATCCGAGAGGAGGTTCCATCCTTGATGATTTTGGCAACAAGCAAGACATGGAACATGGACTATGTCATTTACATTATGAACCTAATTGAAATCCACTTAAGCCCAGAGATGGGGACTCAAGTTTGCGACTAGAACGTTGCCCTCGAGTTGCATTGTAATTGACATCCAGCTCGACTTGCAACTTGTTATTTTTTGACTCGGACTTCACTCAGACTCGTCGATAGTGCCTCATGAACAATATGAGTCTTTAAGGCTCTGTTGAAATTTCTATACGTGCGAAGCATTGAGTGTACAACTCTCCCCAAACTGTAAAGACGTTAAAACACATCACAAAGTACACCGATCCAGAGGTGTCAACAATCTCTAACATGCTTTTTCTGTTTTGCCACTAGTTCAAATTGTGCACCCGATTTGACAAATTCAATATTCCAAGTGTTATTTTACATTAGATGACACCACTTAGAAATAGGCGTTGCTTAACCTGTGTTGTAAATTATATATCGCCTCCATTTGCAAGCTTGTATTTGGTCAACCATTTTCTTTAAAAAGGCACTACCTAGCAGTTTAAAAATGAAATAACACAAAACTAGAAAAAAATGTTCATAAATCAACTTTACTGCAAGCAACCCACAGCAGACAATCAATTAATATATTACGCCTACATCAGAACAGACCAGACCAAGCCCAGATTCACCTGAAACACCATTCCTCCAGAGATTGTCCTCTCCAGAATTCTGAACAGCTGCAATGCATCTCCAGTAATTAGCTACCTCATTTAAGACCAGTGCTGTGCAAAGTGTGAGTGTTTCCTATGATTTTTCAATCTCTGTATACGACCTATATTTTTGATTTCCTGGATTCCCGTCTTTGTGTTTTCCTGTATTTTGTTGCCTCACTGATTGTCCTTCTGTTATCCACCTCTTTCCTGTACTTTCCTCTTTCGCCTCCATTTGCAAGCTTGTATTTGGTCAACCATTTTCTTTAAAAAGGCACTACCTAGCATTTGTGATTATGGATCTTCCCTTTAACTTGGTTTGTATCTGCTTCATTAGTTTTGACCCTGCCTGTTTGTGACTATGATCTGAGCCTCTTGATTAAACATCAATTCACTCTGCATTTGGATCCCTTCAGTATGTGCACTGCAGAATGCTTCGCCTTGACCATGGATCCAAAAGAGGTGATGAGGAGGCCGACTTAACGAGAAGTGCTTACATACGTCAATCAGATGCACTTATGGCTGACAGACTGACCTGGGAAGCTCTTCACCAGACACCAGAGCACTGAAACCAGGGCTGTTTCTCAATACCAAGAGCACAAAGATCATACTTGTGGTCTCGGCAAGACCGGACTTGCTAACTTGCCTCTCAAGAACAAACCTGGGGTGCAATGAATCGTGGGACTGGTCTTGTTCAGCGAGGATGCAACTGATGTATCCTTGATATTTGGGGCAGGGCAAGAACAATATCCAGGGAATTTTACCATCCTCCATATTTCTGATCTTAGTATTGGAACTGGTCTTTGACAATGGAAGATGACATCAAATAGGTACACGACAACACAAGTACAGTCAAGTGTGCATATTGAGAAACACCCCAGATCTAAACCCCCCCCTTGGTTCCAGTACTCTACCCAGACTGGGACTGTCAAATGATCGAGGGGGCTAACCTGATCAGGTAACACTCAAAAAAACCAAAACAAAACAAAAGCCAATTATACATCTTCTAAACAAAAACAGTCTATGCAGAGTCATGGCTAGTGATCAGCCATGACTCAGACTCAGTGCTTACTAGATCAAACCTTTTACTGGCCTTCATAGACAAGGTCTGTAACAAAACACCTCACCCTGGGCCATCCATCCAGCTCACCAGATCTTCTACCCACTGGCTCCTGAAACCAACAGTCCAAGCACAGCTGAAACAGGGAAGCAGGGTGACTTGGGCTGTTGATTAGATGGACGGCTCCAGTATTTTAGAGAGATTTTAATATCAATCTAATGAATATCGATACAGTAACCATAATATCAGAATATTGTTATTCAGCCATATTGCCCAGCTTTAGACTCAAGCAAAGAGAACTGAAGATCCCAATCCAAGAAGCAGGGAACCAAAAGGGGGCACGTACACAAAAATCAGGACACACATGGAAAACCCCAAAGATTAGACACCAGTGGCACAGCACACCAGCTGTGGAATGCTACTTGGTATCATGAACCCTGAAACCAGAAACCAGCTAACCAGAAACCCAAAACAAGATGCCGGTGAATAAGATCCATGAACTCACTGCTCATGAATTATTAACTGCTCTGTTTAAATAAGTTTGGGTTCTAATTGCCATCAGCCCAGAGCAGATTCAGTTACCTGATTAGTAAATCAGGGACAGATTTGACAATTAAGTTGTACGTTAATTTCTTCAGTTGTTTTCTATTGTGAATTGTTTTACACAGCAACTGATTAACTACCCTAACTAGGCAAAATCAACATTTTAGTCAAGAAAGCCCCACAACATCAAGAGCTTTCATGAACTCAGGGCGAATCTCATCCACCCCTGGAGCCCTACCACCAAGTACTTCTGTGACCCCAGAGATGGGGAAGTCCCCCCCTGAGTATTCCAGCTCTACTTCCTCTGAGGAAGGCGCACCAGTGGGATTCAGGCGATCCTTGAAATATTCCTTCTACCACCTGACTATATCCCCAGTCAAGGTCAACAGTTCTCCATCTCTGCTATAAATAGCATTGGTGAAGCCATGCTTCCTCCTCCTGAGTCTCCTGATGGTTTGCCAGAACCTTTTCGAGGCCGACCGAAAGTCCTTCTCCATAGCCTCACCAAACTCCTCCATGCCTGAGTTTTTGCTTCAGCAACTTCTAGAGCTGCTTCCCGCTTGGCCTACTGGTACCTGTCAGCTACTTCAGGAGTCCCACAAGCCAACCAAGCTCAGAAGGTCTCCTTCTTCAGCCTGACTTCTCCCTTTACCGCTGGTGTCCACCACTGGGTTTGGGGATTGCCGGCACGACAGGCCCCAACCACCTTATAGCCACAGCTCCGCACCATGGCCTCAGCAATGGAGTCCCAGAACATGGCCCATTCAGGGTTGATGTCCCCTGACTCCCTCGGGAGAGAAGAGAAGTTCTGCCGGAGGTGTGAACTGAAGATCTCCCTGACAGGGGCCGATGCCAGATACTCCCAGGACACCCTCAGTATGCGTTTGGGTCTACCAGGTTTATCTGGAATCTTCCATTGGATCCAACTCACCACCAGGTGGTGATCAGTTGACAGCTCAGCTCCTCTCTTCACCCAAGTGTCCAAAACATATGGACACAGACCCAAAGATGCAATTACAAAATCAGTCATCGAACTGCAGCCTTGGGTGCTCTAGTGCCAGGTGTACTTATGAACACCCTAATGCTTGAACATGGTGTTTGTTATGGACAAGCTGTGATTAGCAGAGAAGTCCAGTAACAGATTACCGCTTGGATTACGATCAGGAAGGTCATTCCTCCCAGTCACACCTTTGCAAGTTTCACTGTCATTATCCACGAGCATTAAAGTTCCCTAGCAGAATAATGGAGACCCCAGACAGGATGCCTTCCAGCAGCCCCCCCCCCCCCCCCCCAAGGCCTCCAAGAAGGCCAGATACTCTGAACTGGTGTTCGGCATGTATGCACAGACCACCATTAGAGTCCCCCGGTACAACGTCGAAGGGAGGTGACCATCTCATCCACCGGGGTAAACTCCAACGTACTGACACCGAACCGGGGGGTGGGGGAGTACAAGTAGCCCCACCCCTGCGCAGCGCCTTTCACCACGGGCAGCTCAGGAGAGGAATAGAGTCTAGACCCTCACTAGAAGTTTGATTCCAGAGTCCGAGTCATGCTTCGAGGTGAGCCTGACTATGTCTAGTTGGTATCTCTCTACCTTCCGCACCAGCGTGGGCTCCTTTCCCACCAGAGAGGTTATATTCCTTGTAGCTAGAGCTAATTTTGTCACAAAATTTGGTTCACAGAGGCTCCTGCCTTTGACTACCAGGTGATGTGACTTAATACAGCCCTCCAAAAATGAAATTAAGTGTGCTTAAGTGTACTTAATATTTTGGTGTTTCTCTGTTCAAAGCGCATATCTAGCCAAAGTGGACTTAAACCCCATCAACTTAAGAAAGAGCTCAGCTATGTGCTTTTTTGAGTAAATCTCATGGGAGAATAGACCCCTACAGTATATGCGTAAAGATTGCAGATGTCATTAGTCCTCTGGCTTGTGTTGTTATTTATATATTTGTGAAAATAGCCAGGAATAAACGTTTCACATTTCACTATGAATTTTAGTATATCTCTAGCTAACAAACAATGTGTCTACTGTCTAAGATTTCATTGTCATGCTGTTTATGGTTGCACCAGATAGGATATGAATATGAGAAAAATTGTATGAGCTAAAATTATTCATGACTTACCAGTTTGATTATGACAGGGGACAAGTTCATTCAGCTCTGCAAATCAAAAGCTGGTATCAGTTTAAAGCATACTACACATGAAAGCCAGCATACTACACATGAAAGCCAGCATACTACACATGAAAGCCATGCTGAGATAACTGGGATAATGGCGCCTTACCATCAGAGGTCAGGTGGAATTCTGAGAATGCATTTCCATAAGGGCTCCTCAGGCAACATTTGTACCATCCTAGGTCTTTACTGGAGGCCTTAGTAATCATATAGGAAAACTCACTTTCATCAGCTTTGCTGTGAAAAAGATGATATATTAAAATTAAACCTTCAATGTGAGTTAAGGGTTGCACTGGAAATATTTACATTAACAGTAAAAAGAAATTATTTCAGAAAAAAACAGACATACATACGTACAAATTTAAGATTTGCAAATGTAAATATAGAACTGTTACGCAACATCTTTAGTGAACATTTTGCTCTTGTTCTATGGTATTTTACCGTGGCAGCGATTATAAAGACATCTGAATATATGAATCACCATATTATGTAAAAATCAGTTCTATCCAGTTCTTGGCTGAATCACTTAGCATAGCTGTTGTGCATAACTTGGCAAAGTTGGGGGTCTGTCATTATTAAGAAGCCTTGTTGACTTCTGGGATATGACGCTAAAAGTTAATATAATACTCATTCATGATATGTAATTTACCTTATTTTCTCTTCTACCAGAAGTGTCCCTTCTTTCATCCATACAATGAAGCAGTCAGTTGACACACCACTAAACTGACAACAGAGACTAATGTTTTCTGAGTCATCAAATGTCCTCATTATGTGGATATTCTGCAGGATCTTTGGTGCTATTTCAAAACAAAGGCAGAAACAGTTACTTTCTTATGCATTTCTTCCAGCGAGATTTCATGTCAGATACAAGATAAATATGAAACCTAAAGTATAGAAACAGCATATATACACAAAGCATACATGCTTCATTTTTCCATTTACCTCTGTTATGTTTCTGTATCCTCTCTTTGACTATTGCACTGTATGACTTCTTTTGGAATGTTTCTCCAGAAACATTCAGATTATTACTGTCTTTAAGGGTGGAGCCTTCTTGTCTTTTCGGCTGAAGTTCTAGGGCCTGTTTTTCCTCTTCATCTTTACATAAATGCCTCTCTTTAGAAGGATTGTCATCTGTATGGATTGTAGGACCAATGGCTCTAGATTGTAACATTTCACTTGTGACTAAGGCACTCAGTGAGTTGTCTGCTACGTCGTGTGTACCTCCAGTGGTGACTGCCACATTCTTGACTGTAGGCTCTTTCACTTTGTTATTCAAACATGAAAAATACTTTTTCGACATATGATCAGATGTTTTTTCACTGGTTTTATGTCTCGGAGATGAAAGTATTGCCTTAGACTCGGTTTTCAGTCCCGAGGTGGTCCTTTTGTCTAAAAAAGGGTCAGTCTCAACTTTTCCTTGTGAATTTTGGGATTTCCTTTTCTTCTTTCTGCTCCGCGGTTTGGAGCTGTTTTTTTCTGTCATTATTATTGTCCCAATATCAGTTGCACAGTCGTCTTTGCTACAGTCATCATTGATTGTACATGTAACAGAAGAGTCATGAGCCAGTCTTTCCTTTTGGCTAGAAACTTGTTTTCCTCTGTTTACTGTGACCGTTTTCATGGCAGATGACTCGTCTTTCTTGGTTTGGTGTGTTGATGGTTTACACTCCGCACATTCCTTTGATATTTTGTGAGGCTGTTTAGACATTATCTTTAGGTCCATTTTAAAAATATTGTTTTCTATTTTTACGCAATTCAGGGAAAATTGCCAAATGCTATTCTAGATGCCTTAAAAGATTATCCATATGTGACCACCTAAGTCATAAATCATCTTTAAGAGTAATGCACAGTTGATTGATTCTGTATTCAGTATTTTTTGCTGGACATTATATTATTTATTTATTATTTACATGTCAGATTGGGTAATTATTCTGCTCATTTAAAAAAATTTCTTATGTCTCACACTTCCATTAAAATTTCATTTCAGTGTTCGCAATACTCAGTCAATTGACTTCTGATCATTCCGCTACAAAGAAAATTAATTCGCTAACAGAATGAAAATGAAGAGGTATCGACATTTATGTTCTTTAACTTTGCCTCCTGTTCCATCACATTGTAGTCATCAGCCTTGTTCCATATTTCTGATCCCCTCTTGTCAATTTTATTCTTCAGACACAAATAACAGCTTCCATGGGGCAGTAAATGTTACTTGGCCACTCTGTGTTGTTAACTGAGGAACAGCTGGTCGGCAGTGTTAAGTAGCTTATTCCGGTCCTTCACATAAGACCCACGGCACAAGGTTCTGCACAGGAATTTGAGACCTCCAGCGACACACAACCCTATTTGCACACAAAGCTCACAGGCCGTGTCTTCTGCTACCTTTAAGAGTTCTTAGGACTGAGAAGAAAAATTGTTGGAAGTAGTTCAGTTTTTGTTTTTATGTTGGTTTTTATTTCTAAAACATCACATTCATTCTTATCAGTGAATGTGAATAACGGACATCATGCAAAATGAATACTATGCTGGAATATTTGTAAAGTGACAAAATAATCCTATTATCTTATTCTTAGACATATTTAGCACATACATACCTTTTTATGATACTTCATGTACTGAATTCCACCATGATCAGGCGAAGGAATCCACTAACCTCTGGGCAGAGTTGGCTACTATTATAAGCAAGTGCTAACTCTGGCGCTGACACACAATCTGATTGGCAACTGAGTTAAACCAATGACGTCTGACTTACCAGCCCTATGTCCAATGGGTTTTGTGAGACTGGCTATAGGCCAAACTACAGCTTGGCTTTAAGGTATCGGGTTACAGTCTTCAGCAGTGGTAGACCTCCTTCCTTGGGATGCTTCAGCTCTATAATTAGTTGGCATTTCTCTTCATCTATGGTTTTTAAAAACCTTACACTTCCTTTGCAGAGGTAGCTGTCACTCATAGGCCATTTGGTATTATGGGTAATACTCTACAGCGAATGCTCTACTGCAGGCTGTAAACACACAGCATTGTGGTGTGCAAATAATTAACATACTTATGAGATATTTGTAATCATATGTCTTAAAATATGTAGTACACTGTATGTACATATGGTACCTTCTACTTAAACTAGTTCTTAAAATCTTAGTCTCAGTTCTGAGCTAATTTTAATGATTTTACTTACATTATGAGCTTGGAATATTAAAATAAGCTGAATATAAATTGAAGATGGTTAGTACCATTTTCATTGAAACGAATGGTTCTGAATGTTTATAACCAAAAGGCAAAATAGGCACAACATACTGTCAATAAGTGGGGGCTCGTCCGGGATCCTTTTGTGTTCGGCAGTGCCAGTTGGCATCTGTGGATTTTTGACTAAGTGGGATTTTGCATCTGGTTGTCAGCCTTGTAGTATCGTGTGCGACCTGGTCTGACGATGGCATTCTCTTTGGAGACATTTGAACTCCAGCCATCTCTGGAGGCTGTGCACTCATGTAAAAAGGCCGAGTTGGAAATGGTGGCTGAGTTTTTTTTTATGAGTTTTTGTATTCCTCCCTTCTCTTTTAATTTTTGTGGCTCCTGTATAAAGGGCTGACTCACAGTGTTTCCCAATCCGGTCCGTGGGGACCCGCAGCAATCCATGTTTTTGCTCCCTCCCTACCAGTAGCTGGGAGGGAGCAAAAATGTGGACTGTCTGGCAGGGTGTTGGGAGGGAGCAAAAGCGTGGAATGTCTGTGAGTCCCTGAGGACCAGGATGGGAAACACTGAGATAGGGACATGTCAGCGAAAACGGCTGTTTAATTTTGTTGAAACTGTAGCCCAGAAAAGTCATCTTTAACAAACTAGGAGAGGCCTCCTCTCCTGCCCTTTAAGCATAACTGTTAACTTAATTGAAATAATATGCTAGAAAACTTTAAACTGAATTAATTCTGTCACTTTTTTATGCAGCTATATTATAGCTTCCACATTTGGAGTCTGGGCACTATTAATGTAAGTATTTATGTCTAAGGGAAATGACTTATTTGCTTGAGAATATAGTTTACCACCTGTAGTCTGTTTACTCAGGGATATTCTGTTCTTTATGTGTAACTAAGGTGCCAAGCAGAAGTGCTGGTGGATGGCATTTCAGGCAGCATTTGCAGTCTCGCACTCACAATCATGGGTTAAATTAACCTGATACCTGACGTTGCATGTATTTTAAAATTAAAGTGGTAGGCATGTTTTTCACTTGCCTTTCTATAGTTGATTACTAGGAGTAGCATATAATTACAAATTAAAAGCAATTTTCAGCTGTAGTCCTCTTAATTCCAAGAATTAAGAGTATTTCTCAATTACAAACACACACATTATTATTGCATTATCTAACCAGAAATATGTGGATCTGTTTCAACTAACCTTGGTATGTATGATGTCATTCATTTGGCACTTCCTTCAATAAAGGGAAATAATGACATTCAAAGGGCAAAATGTATTTATATTCGTGTTGGAATTGGTATCAGTGATACTACCCTTAGATCAAATCAAAATCAGATTAAAAAGAAAATCAGTGGTATTGCCCATCCCTAATGCATGCTACATTTGTCTGTAGACAGACGGTCATGGTGGCCACATGCATACAACAATAATATTTCACCAGACCAGCAGAGGGCAGATGTATTTCATTTCCATTCCTGTTTCTCCTGTGCATGGTGCGACAAATACGAATACAAGCAAGTGAAATGGGTAAACTTTTATGAATAGTTTTAAAGTTGTTACTAGGCTTGAGCTTTATTACAGTAATATGGTACAGTGAGGGAAATAATTATTTGACCCCCTGCTGAATTCTTAAGTAGACCCATTAATAAAGTAATGAGAAGTCTATAATTTCACTGGTAGGTTTATTTTTAACAGCAAAAGATAGATTATCAACAAAACAAGCAAGAAAAATCATCCATCCATCCTCCAACCCACTTATCCTTCTGGGTCACAGGGGGTCCAGAGCCTATCCTGGAAACTACAGGTACAACCCAGGATGGGGGGCCAGCCCATCGCAGGGCACACTCACACACCATTCACACCTATGGACAATTTAGGAAACCCCACGACGACACGGGGAGAACATGCAAACTCCACACACATAAAACCCAAGCGGAGACTTGAACCCGGGTCCCAGAGGTGTGAGAAAACAGTGCTAACCACTGCACCACCATGTCACCAAGGAAAAATTACAAACCAATTTGTCATTCATCTAAGGAAATAAGTATTTGATCCCTTGGATCACATGCTATAGTACTTGGTGGAGTAGCCATTGTTGGCAAGCACAGCTGTCAGATGTTTCTTGTAGTTGGTCACCAGGTTTGCACACAGCTCAGCAGGAATTTTCATCCACTCTTCTTTGCAGACCTTCTCCTAATCTTTAAGGTTTTTAGGCTGTCACTTGGATACATGAAGCTTGAGTTCCCTCCATAGGTTTTCTATGGGATTAAGAGTTTATGCCTCTGCGGCCTGCAAGACAACTACCTCCACCTCCGGCAACTACCCTCTAACCTGCCTGCCCTTGGCTCAACACGATGCCTCGCCATCCATCCGGCGGCTGTGTGTCTATTAATCCTGCCATCGTGCATCAAGCACCACATGCCTGCACCGGTCGGCCGCTGCATTGAGACATATATTTCAACCCCTGTATTAGCTTAGTCATTTCATCTTGTCTGTATTAGCTTAGTCATTTCATCTTGTTTGTTTGACTCATCTGCNTTGGGTCTGGTTCCTCCCAAGGTTTCTTCCTCTTAGGGAGTTTTTCCTTGCCACCGTTGCCTTTGGCTTACTCAATGGGGGGTCCTTACGAGGCAGAAATGTGAAGCGCATTGAGACAATGTAATGTTGTGATAATGCGCTATATAAATAAAATTGAATTGAATTGAATTGAATTAAGGTCCGGAGACTGACTAGGGCACTCCATGACCATAAAGTGCATCTTCTACTCCTTTGCTGCCTTGGCCGTATGCTTAGGGTTGATGTCTTGCTGGAACACCAACCCACAATGCATTTTCAGTGCTCCGGCTGACACTGCCACTACATGCTTCAGCAGTACTAGAAAAGTTGCGTATCTTGGAAATGATCATAACTTTGGCATTATCATCTTAGAAAAACTTATCTGTCAGCTTAATTTGAAAATTTTTCTTGTTCTTTCTGTAGTTGCCAGTTCTCTTCCAATGAAAGATTAATTTTATCTCTCCTAATCTGACATAAATCACACTCAGAAACACTTTCTGGTTGCGGTGCCACCTCCTGTTGATCCATCTCCTCTGCTTCTGAATCCTTATGTGTCCCCTTGTCTAGCGCTTTTGGTTTCTGTCATCCTTGCAGTGCCTTCTTTTCAGTTTTTTGCTTCTGTTGAAGCTCGACCTGTGTGTGTGTATCTGTCTGTCAGCAATATCATTGTGACCCAGATGTAGGGATGGAATCCAGTTGGGATGGATTTCCAGCATTTCATTTACTGGCTGACCAGTTAAGGAACAAACATATATAGCGATATAATATATGGCACATTCAGCATAACACAAATGCACAAAGCTTGTTGAATATGCTTGGTGTTTGTTTATGTCTGCAAAACACACGTGATGTTACTGCTGGGAAAACTGACGCTAAAACAGGTAACAGTGAATGAAAGCGAATAGAAACTTTGGTAACATTTTACTTAAAGCACTCGTGTATAATACATTATAGATACCTTTATAATGCATTACAATGCATTCATAAAGTATCATAAACATGGTTATAACTATTTATAAAAATGCATAACACATTATATATACATTATGAATGCTCTATGAAGTTCTTATGTATAATGCACTATAAATACCTTCATAATGCATTATAATGGCTTATACAGACCATTATAATGCATTATGAAGGTATCTGGATATCCAGGGCCCCATGCTCAGGTAGGCACTTTCAATTTCTCAGTTGACTTTGCCAAGCAGGGGGGATTTAGGGCCCCTACAATGTGCTGGGCCCTCCTGAATCTGTTATGGTATCCATGCCCCTCCAAGTCCTGCTGACCATAGCAATGCAGATGCTAAAAGAGTGTTCAGTATTATAGGCAAAAATAAAATGAAGAGCTGGTCAGATCTGCCACTTGGGGGCACATTGTCTTCAGTAACAACATGCAAGGTCAATCGGTTCTTTGATGAGCCTTGCTAGGAATTCCAACCAAACAAGAATAGGTTGGATAATGGAAGAAAGCAACTTGGAACTACAACAAAGCTGATAGTGGTAAGAACTGAATTATAGCACATCTTGGTTGGTTTCTCCTAATCTTAGTCTTGCTACTGCTTGCTTGGTTACTGTTTAAAAATTCCTGCTTTTTAAATATAGGACCATGCTTGGTTGATTAATTGATAACCTTTCTTTTAGTGTTTGTAGAAGTGCAGTGGTAATTATTATTTTCTTGTTCAAAGCACCCTACTCACCTGAACAGATCCATGGAAATCAAATTCTGAAAGTCACTCTTTTAATCAAAAGCAAGTTTGCAGATAACAATAGCATGCAATTATTATGCCACAAATATCAAGGGGTGTTTCACAACTTGGGTCTCAATGAATCATGGGATTGGTCTCATTTGGTGAGGATGCAACTAAGGTATCCTTCATATTTGGGGCGGGGCAAGAATGACATCCGGGTATTTCTACAGTCTTTTGTACTTCTGATCTTATTGTTGGACCTGGTCTTTGGCA